GAGGGGGGGATGGGAGACATCTGTAATACTGTCAACAATAAAATAAAATAAAAATAATAATAATAAAAAGAAAAAACCCAAAAACATTGTCTAACATTATGCAACATATGCTTGTCTTAGACTCTTTTCACTGCTATTTCAAAAATAGTTTCTAAAATTAGCAATATTTTAGTTTAAAAAATGGACACCTGTGAAATCAAGCACTAATGTTTTTACATCTTGAAATATAAAACTAGTTCTAGAATCTACATATATAAAAGTCTAAGTGACCGAATGACCAGTTGACTGGTCGCTATGACGTGCATTGACCACCAGGGGGCAGACACTCAATGCAGGAGCTGCCCCCTGGTGGTCAGTGCGCTCCCAAAGCAGGAGCGCTGTTCAGCTGACCAACGGGCACCAGACGCAGGGCTCACGGCTGGCGAGCACCACTGAGGTAGCATGAGCCTCTCCCAATCAGGACTGACTGGGTGCGAGCCCGCAGCAGGTGCAGCGGGGCTGGGATGAGCAGGAGCCGCAGGTGGCATTTGACTGCCGGTTTCAGCCTGACATCCCCTGAGGGGTCCTGATTGCAAGAGGGTGCAGGCCAGGCTGAGGGACCCAACCGGTACATGAATCCATGCACCGGGCCTCTAGTGTCTTCTAAAACAACGAACCAACTGTAAATCTCTAGGGTACTATGTTACAGCTTGTTATAACTAGCCCAGGGAATATTTGGAACTGTTATTTTTTGGAACTATTTTTTAATTGTGATGACTTTTTACTAGAAAATAATGCCAATGGAGAAGTTGACTAGATTAGCAGTGCCAGCTTCTGAGTGTCATGAATGGTTCTGTATCTTACTCTTCTATCTGTTCTATTTCATAACCATCCCAAATTACTACCTCTACTGTGCTCCTCTCAAATGAACCCTGCCATTCTGTATGGATTGACTGATGCCCTTATTTCAACCAAGTGACAGGAAATATACTGAATTGCTTTGATGTGAAAAAACAAAACAAAACACAACCCTGGGTGGCCCTGGCTTAGAGACTCTGTCAGTGGAGATGGTCCCCGCTGGCCGGGATAAGTAGATAAGAGCAGGAGGAGGACATAGCCTGAGCCAGGCTGGGAGGCCATCTGCTGTTTTCCTCTTAGATGCTAACAGAGGGTCCTGGATGCAGTGATGGGGAAGAGGCCCAGGGCTGCTTAACACCACCCATCATCCCTCAGGGGCAGTGACTTAGACCCCCCAGGTCCTGTGAGTGTGGCCACTGGAATTATCTGTCACCTATTGGTGCACTTTATTTTACTTTATTTTATTTTACTAGAGGCCTGGTGCACAGATTCATGCACCAGTGGGGTCCCTCAGCCATTGAATTTTAGAGAGAGTGGAAGGGAGGGAGTGTGGGAGGGAGAGTGAGAGAGAGAGAAACATCAATGTGAGAGAGACACATAGGTTGGTTGCCTCCCATGGACATCCTGACCTGGGCTGGGGATTGAACCTCCAACCCAGGTGCATGCCCTTGTCCAGGAAATGAAACCCCGACCCTGTGGTGCACGGCTGACCCTCTAAACACTGAGAAACACCAGCCATGGCACCTATTGATGTATTTTTTTAAAATATATTTGTATTGATTTCAGAAAGGAAGGGAGAGGGAAAGAGAGAAACAGCAATGATGAGAGAGAATCATTGATCATCTGCCTCCTGCACACATTCTATTGGGGATCGAGCCAGCAACCCAGGCATGTGCCCTGATCAAGAATCGAACCTTGACCTCCTGGTTCCTAGGTTGATGCTCAACCACTGAGCCACGCCGGCTGGGCTCTTGGTGTATTTTAAAGTGCATTTTCAGTTTGTTTCTTTGAAAGGATGGAGCTTTATCTGGTTTTGGTGTTTTGTCTCCCACTCCTGGTTGGGAGTCTGTGGGGACAGGCAGAGTTAGGGCTGGAGCTGGATGAGACCCGGAGGGCATTGGATTCCGTCTCATTGTGTCCCTGGTGGAAGGAACAGGCTCAGGGAGGGTTAGAGGTGTGACCACACCTCCCTCCGAATGACCACACACACTGCTTCCTTGTCTTTGTATGTGGGCTTCCCCCAGAGGTATAACTGCATGTTGCTACTTAGGCCAATTTTGCTTTCATAAAATATTTTAGAGCAGTAACTCTGTCCTATAATGTCAGGTCTGACCAGCTAAAATATGCTCTATTAATTTTTAAATGATACCTATTTCTGTCCAAAAGAAGAAAAAAGCTGTGCTTCTGTGAGATCTAATTTTCAAATACCGTATTTTTCTGTGTATAAGACGCTATTTTTTTTCTAAAATCATTAGACTGAAAATCGAGGGGTGTCTTGTACACGGAAGTCAGCCAAAGAGGGAGCTGCGCAGGTGCGTAGCTGCCCATGTTTTGTCAAACAGGCTTCCTCCAATCGTGAGCCTTACTGTTACTGACGTCAGCTGATGCCGTAATTGGAGGTGGAGGCGGAGAGTGTGCAGATGCAACAGGGACCGGAGCGTTCTGAGCCCATAAAGACGTCAAAAAATAAAAAGATAAACACCTGTAAGCAATTGTCTTACTCTGCAAAATTCAAACTGAATGTACTCAGCTGTGCAAAAGAGCATGGAAATAGAGCTGCAGAGAGACAATTTGGACCTCCTCCCACTGAGCGTATGATCAGACAGTGGAGAAAACAGGAAGAACAACTCCTTAAGATGCCAACAAAGAAGACGGCCTTAAGAGGAAAACCAGCAAAATGTTTAAAATATTGATTTCTTAATTTTGAGTTGGAAAAGTGGGGGGCGTCTTATACACAGGAAAATACGGTAATTCATTTATGCCTATTTAAAAATGAGGTAGGTTGTGCCATTGTCAGCCCTAAAGCTTCAAGGCTTATGGACACAGTGTGTCTTGACTCAAGCTGACCTGTTTTACATGGGAAAATGGATGCACATAGATAGTGTATGGGTATGTATAGGAATATTGTAGTAGGTGTCCCTGCCTGAGAAGAAGCCATCATATGCTGAGAAGTAATATCAGAGCATCAATAATATTGCGCATCTTTATAGTTTGGTAACAGCTGTTGTGAAGTTGCAAAAATTAGCCTAGTGCAAGGGCATCTTCTTAGGAGTAGAACTGTCTGCAGCCCGGTCATAGGCGCTGGCTCTCCATGATGACAGGGGGGTGTCGTATAGGGGTAAAGCTCTGTGATGTCACTCAGCAGGCTCAAGTCGTGGACACATGTTGTTCTCTTCTGCTCTTCTACAGAGAGACAGACCCACTCGGCAAACATGAGGAGCGCAGCCAAGCCCTGGAGTCCAGTCACCAAAGTGGGGAGCCATGGGAGTGAGCGCGCGAGGCCCCTTCCCACAGCCTCCTCTGGCATGAAGAGTTCTAAGTCTTCAACCTCGCTGGCGTGTGAGTCCCAGCTCAGCAAGGTATAGCCCGAGACGCACAGGGTGAGGGCTGGGCGTCCAGTGTCTGCTCGGGGGGATGGGAGGGGCGGGGGGTAAAGCTAGTGGCCTCCAGGGCTGGACAAGGCCTCCAGGGAGGGCCTGGGAGAACTTAAAGGAGCAGAGCAAAGGCTTTGTAGCAGGGGCACTTGGGATGGAGACGGAGGTCTGCCAGATGTTTCCCAGAACTCAGGTCCCCTGCCCTGGATTACCTGGACTCCAGGCAGAGCTCTGCCCCAGCACCCACCAGATGGGGTCAGGATCACTAATGATCTGGTAATCCCGTGGCCAGTCTTCATCCTTGTCTTACTTGACAACCAGCAGAGTCAACACTGTTGATTAGGCCCCGCGTCTGGGAATGTCTTCTTCTCTCAGTTGCCTTTTCCCTCAGGTGTAGGGATCTCCCTGCCGACTCCCTCTGCCCTGGTTTCAAATATTGGGTGGGCCCAGGGCACAGTCCTTGGGCCTCAACTCTCTTCTAGTTACTGTGTCACCCAACACCTCCTTTCTACCCTGCAATGAAGTCAATGAAGTCAGAGGTAGTATAACCTACCCACACACACATTTTTGAAAAATTAATGTAATATCCTAGCTATAAGAGGAAGCTAGTTTATAATTAAATGAACCGTAGCGCCATCCGCATATGCCTCAGCTTGACTGTGCGGAAGGACCTGGGATGCTCCCTGGGCGCGGACATGCGATGCGGCCTGGGGCGGGCTGTGGTGTGATGAAGTCAGAGGTAGTATAACCTACCCACACACACATTTTTGAAAAATTAATGTAATATCCTAGCTATAAGAGGAAGCTAGTTTATAATTAAATGAACCGTAGCGCCATCCGCATATGCCTCAGCTTGACTGTGCGGAAGGACCTGGGATGCTCCCTGGGCGCGGACATGCGATGCGGCCTGGGGCGGGCTGTGGTGTCTGCGTGTCCCATGTATTCTTGTGTCCATTTCTGTGTCTCCAACCAGGACCCCTCCAACTGCCTTTGTCACCTTGCCTGTTGGTTGCCTGAGAGGCACTCCGAATGTAACATGTCCAAAACCGAATCTTGATGCCTTCCCCTCCAGGTCCCACGCCTCCCCTAGCCTGCTCCTGAATCTCCCCATTGGAGGTAATAGCAACCCCATCTTTTCAGCTGCCCAGGCCAGAGCCCAGGGCATCATTTTTGAACACTTCTCACATCCCATAGTTCATCAGCAAGATGCCATCACTTCTACCTTAAAAATAGATGCCAACTCCATCCACTCCCATTACCTCCGCTGGGACCACCTGGTCATTCCACTGCCTTCCCTGCACAGCTTCCCAATGTCCTTTCTGCTTCGTCTTTGCGCCCATCATTCATCCTCAACAGAAGTCAGTGATCCTTTTAACACATGGATCACGCCACTTCTCTGCTTGGAACCCTCGAGGGCTCTCTTCATTCATTCAGAGTGGTCAGTACTGCCCTAGAGACCTGCCCCATTCCTGCTCGAAGCCATGGCCCTCCCCTTGCCCTGGCTCCCTGCTGTGGCCTCGGGCTCTCTGGGCTCAGTGGCGGTTCCTCTGATGAGCCAGGCTCACTCCTGCCGCAGTGGGTTTGCTGCTCTCTGCCCATTTCCTCCCTCTGAGCATCCTCCCCATCCTCCTCCTTTAAGTCTGTGCTCAAAGGTCTCCCTATCAGACATCATCCCACCACACCATACAGCGGCATCCTCACCACCGCAGCTCCTACTGCCTCACACCCCTGCTCCACGTGTCCCACACCCCTGCTCTGCATGGCCGTTTCCATGGCTGCATGTAGCTGTCCATCAGACCGCCGCCAGGCGTGGCAGGATGGGGGATGTCAGGCAGGAGGAGGGGCTCAGACCAGGCCGATGGGGTCCTGACTGTGAACCTCCGGGAGGTTGGGAGCGGTCCTGTGAGGGTTCCACACTAAAGTCCTTCATGACTGTGATCCTGGATTCAGCCATTATTTCTGTGACTTTTGTCTTTATGATCTTTGACCTGTAGCATACTTGGGAGACATCTTTGATTTAAATTTCAAATAAAAGCATACATTTCACCAATGACAGACCAGTGGAGCTTTTGGAAGCTCAGGAGTGTTCCCTGAGGACAAAGAAATGTTGGCCACTTCTGCCGTCGATGGGTGAGCATTTTGGAAACTTGTCCCACAGGGAAATGCCGGGGAAAAGCAGATCCTCCTGTTAGACACTTGCTGCTCCCATTTTGCGCCTCAGCACCTGCAGGCCTCGGTCTGTGGAGGAGAGCGCCAGGGCCCAGGGAGGGAGCAGCGGAAGAGGGCGCCTCCCCTGCCCATCGCCGGGAAAGAGGACATGGCGATAGACAGAACAGCTCGGAGATTGGCCACAGTGTTGACTATGAAGACCTGGACACATGCATGGCGGCGGCGTGGTGCACCTCACACCTCACTCTAGCTGCTCTGTAGTGAGCGGGCACATAGGGGTGGATAGATACATCTTTGGTCAAAACCAGGAAAACGGAAACAAATCCACCAAAGTGGAATGAAATCTCCTACTTCAAATGAAGGGCAGTGAGAGAAGCAGGGGGAGCACGGCCCAGGGATGGGGGAGGCCTCGCCCGTGCTAGTCAAGCCCAGTGCCGGAGGGGAAGCGCCAGGAGTCCGCTGAGGTGAGCAGGCCACCTCAATCTGGCCGCTCAGCTTCCTTGGCTGCAAATGACAAAACATTGACTTGAGCCAGCTCTGGCCGGAAAGAACTAGACTGAACAGACCCTAAGGCTCCCGTGTCACTGTGGGCAGGACAGAGGGACAGACTGGAGCTCAGAGAGGCTGGGATCGGGGACTGGAACACCCAAGACTCGCTGTCACTCCCTTCCATTTGCCTCTGCTTCTGTGTCACCTGCTGGTGTCTGGTCTTCAGAGCGTGGTGTGAGCAGGGATGCCACCATGCCCAAGCCTCTCACATTCCTGGAAGGCCTGTGTGCTTATTTACTTACTTCTGATTTGCTTTAAAGAAAACTAAGCAAAAAAAATAGGGAAAGGTCTGCTTGGCTAGGCATGTACTGAGCCTGCCCAGGCCCCTGTGGCCAGGGGTCAGGGCCCCCGTGCCCAGAGAGCAGAGTCGTATAGTTTAGGCATGCTCTTTACACGTGCCGGGCACCCCGTCAGTCTTGTGCAGTCTTTCTTGGGGCGTGCTCTAACCCCGCACAGCCCAGGGCAGTACCCACAAGCCACAGGCTGCAGTTGAGCCCCTGGAACGTGGCTAGTCAAAACCCAGATGTGCTCCAAGTGCAAAGTCACACCAGATTTGGAAGAGTTAGTACAAAAACAAGTCAGATGCCTTACCAACATACTTTACATTGTTGATAATATTTTGAATGTATTGGGTTAAGAAAACCTATTCTTAACATTAATTTTGTCCAGCAGTCACAGTGCTTTTATAATGTGGCTGCCAGACACTATAAAACTATGCCTGTGGCTACATTCTTTTTTTTTTTTATTATTCTTGAAGAAAATACATTCTTAACATTAATTTTGTCCAGCAGTCACAGTACTTTTAAAATGTGGCTGCCAGACACTATAAAACTATGCCTGTGGCTTGTACTGTATTTCCGTCGATGCTGCTGCTCTAAATATTGGTTCTCAAAGTGCTTCCCAGACCGCAGCGTCGGCATCACCGGGAAAGGTAGAAATGCAAGTTCCCAGGCTCCGCACCTGCAGGCCTCAGTCTAGGAGTCAGAAAGGAGGTGGTGGTGGCCGATTGGGGTCGGGTCCAGGCAGCAGCGTGCCTTCATGAGCCTCCCACATTCTGAGACGTGCCAAGTCTGAGAAGTGCTTCAGCCATCACGTGGCATCTGCCTTTACAGACTGGACTGTTCTGTGTGACGATTTTAGAGTTTTGGTTTCCCCCACGACCTCTGTGGGATTGAGAAGAATTTTTAGTTCCTGTGAGCTATTTGCACGTTTTTCCTTTTGTAAGCTTTCCTGGCGGTGCTTGGCAGCTTCACCATCAGCCAGTTGGTGAAATTACTTACAAAATGTACCAAAGCAACGCCAAAGCACATCCCTGCCCGACCGGCTGTCACAAACCAGAGATCTCACGTGGCTGCTGTCAGGGACCAGGAGACAAAGCCAACAGTGCAGTCAGGAGCCGGGCAAGATCAGGAGTCAGTAGCTGAGACCAGTAGCTTCCCGGACCTGAGGCTGCGTCCAAGAGATAGTGACAAAGGACACTATTTTGCTTGGGAGGATGTGGAGAATTGCTTTCGCCTTTATGTCCCGCTTCCTGGAAAAGCTTCTGAGCAACAAATCTTTCTCCAGGGGATTCGGTGGGAGGCGGAGGCGCAGGGGAACGACCAGCATACTCCCCTGCCCAGGGTGAGGAGATGCACTGTGGCCAGCAGCCCGCCTGACTTACCGCGGTCAGATGTGCTGATAATACAGACTGGACCACCACATCCCACTGCCTGGGCTCCTGTCCTCCCACCTCTGGGCCCCGGCCTGTCCTCTCACGTCCTGCGGAGGAGGGAGAAGGGCAAGGCGACCTGCCCTCTGGCCCCTCGTGGGCGGAGCTTCGGGGTTTGCAGAGGCAGCCCCCGGCCCCCACCCAGCCCCTGCCCTCATGTTCCTTGGATTCGCAGACCGACCCTCTGCTCCCTGGGCCTTTTGTGAGGAGGAAAGATGATAAAAGTACGAGTCTGATTCTTCCACTTCTCTGTGTGACGTTTACTGACCTTAGTGACGTCAGAGAATCAGGTAGAGGAAAGCAGAACCAAGTGCATAGCATTTGCATTAAAATTCCCTTAACTATAGTGGTTTCCCTTTTTTATTTGGTGTGTTGTCTGGGGAGTTTTCAAAGCCTAAATCAGAATAGATTTTGCTTTGGGGACCTAGGGAGGTACCTGGGCATGCTTCTAGGCAGCGTGAGTAACAGCTGCTTTTTCTACTGAGAAGAAGTTGCTGACGTCATGCACTGTTGTCAGATAAGAACTACACTGGTGACCTGAGGGCTACTTTGAGAGGCTGCAGAGCTTGGGTGCAGCAGCCCCAGTTGCTCTGAAATGGGAAACAGAAAAGTGATTCCGGAGTTCCTAGAAGGCCACCGGGTGGCTTCTGCGTCAACCCCAAGGCCATTTGCGGCCCGTTGTTAAACTAGGATCACAAAGTGGGCCAGAAAATGTGTTTATATTCACATCTAATAAACTGCGAGCATAAACACAATTTTTTGCACAATTTTTTTAAATTGTGAAAATCTTTAAGTGCATGCAAACGTCACAAAGTGGGCCAGAAGATGTGTTTATATTCACATCTAATAAACTGCGAACATAAACACAATTTTTTGCACAATTTTTTTTAAATTGTGAAAATCTTTAAGTGCATGCAAACCATCCTTTCAGTGTTAGCGATTTGCTTTTTATTTATTTATTTTAATATATTTTTACTGATTTCAGAGAGGAAGGGAGAGGGAGAGATAGAAACATCAATGATGAGAGAGAATCATTGATCAGCTGCCTCCTGCAGGACCCCTGGGGGTCAAGCCTATAACTCGGCATGTGCCCTGACCAGGAATCGAATGGTGACCTCCTGGTTCATAGGTCAATGCTCAACCCTTGAGCCAAGCCGGGCTGAACATTCTTTTGAGGAACTTGTGTACTCACTTCTCTTGGGCATAGACCTAGAAGCAGGATTGCTGCCTCCTTGGGTGCAAATACTCGGCGTTTGTAGACTTTGCCAGTTTTCCCAAATGGTTGTCAGCTTGTCCCACCACCTCACTGACACCTGGTATTAGCATTTTTTCTCTTTTAAGCTACTCTGGGGGTGTGTAGCTCCCTGAAATGTAAACAATGCAAAGTGGAAATGTTTTTTTTTTTAATCATGAAAATCTTTAAACCCTAATTCTCAGTAAATGACCCCGAAGCCAGTGGAGGAGGATGGAGCAGAGCCTTTACACCAGTGCAGTGGGCGGGGCTACCCACTCCCCGTCTCTCCACACTGCTTTCTCCAGATGTCAGATATATTCGTAATGGCTCTGGGCATCTTCCTGTCTCTGGGGTTTTAGAACAGAGATTTCCATCCTTTTTCATCTCCTGGCACATACACTAATTACTGAAATTCGGTGGCACACCAAAAAAGACATTTTTTGCTGATCTGACAAAAAACAGATATAATTTTGATTCATTCACACTGGATGGCTATTGTGCTGGCTGTTGTCACTTTTTTATTTGACGATGTAAGGGAAAAGAGGTCAGTGCCCGTGACTAAATGGTCAGGTAGTGCATGTTTTAAAAATTCTTGCTGCAAATGGGGTAAAAATCACTATTCTAGAACGATCCCTCTTCAGTAATGTTCTTTAAAGACTTACAGTGGTTGGGAGAAGTCCTGTGATCTTTCTAACTACCTTGGTGTCATTTCCTGGACCAGCAGTGATAGGTCATTTAAGGCTCCCCCTCTTTTTTTTCACCAGCAGATGAAACAATTTTATTTTATAGTTGTCTTTAAAACCACAAATTTTTTTTATATTCTTCGTATAAAAGCATTAGTACAGCTAACTATGCTTTCTAGAATATGACTATAGAGCCTCTCCAAGAAACACGAACCCCATTATATGGTTTCAGTGAAGTTGCTTGGAAAAAATTCACATCTGGACTGATTCCTAAAACATACCATGCCACACTGCGTGTTTCGGTTCAAAGTACAGATTATTGTCACAGCGCTCGGTCCCGCGCTCTCGCCTGTGTGATGCTGCGCACACAGGTGGGGGTCTCAGCTGCTGCTCCGCTGGCGCATCCATCTGTCTGCAGGTTCATCAGCAGCGGCGAGGCTGTGCCTCTCCCTGTGGCCTTCCTCCCAGGCCTCCGGGCGTGAAGCCACATCATCATTGTCATCAGTCAACTCCAGGTCTCCACAGCTGTAGAGGAAGCACTCAGTGTATTAGGCCCCGTCCTGCAGGAAGTGTCTCCCTTAAAGCACGCAGACCACGCTAACCAGTTCGCTCAGACTGCACTCCATACACTCAGACATGGGTCTCTCCAAGGAAGTGTGAGCTGGTTGGGAACAGGCTCCAGTGGACGTAGCTCTGCAGTCAGAATAGTTAGTGTCTGGGTCTTGCTTCCCATTCTATGGTTTCGGTGAAGTTGCAGATACAAGAGGAGACACAGGAAGACGTCTGTCAAATACAAACCTGGGATCCAAACCCTCCTGGCCCATGAAACCACACACCGTCTCCGCCAGCCGTAGGTCCCGCAGCTGAGATACAATATGGCTGTCGACATGGAGACTGATTCCTGATGGCCACAGGCTCCCACTGTGCTCTCCTCGGTGCAGCCCACACTGCCCGGGTTTTTAATTTCAGAGCAGCTGTGGCTGAACGCCGTTCGACAGCTTCCACTGCAGATTCAGTGTGATGACTCCTACCCTGAGGACGCCAGTGACATCATTGTCACTCGGGCTGCGAACGCTGGAGACAGGCCAGGCCAGCGGTGCTGCATGGGGTCCCCGCTTAAACCTCAATTTCTTTCGACAAATGTTTGGTCTCCCTTTTCATGACAGAGAAGAGAGCAGAAAAGGAGCGAGGGGTTCTGCTGTTCTTGCTGTCAGTCAGTAGCTGTTCTTCTGGCCTCCAAAATGTCCTTTCTTCCCTTGGAACTCGTTGTCTGCGGGAGACCCTGGGCGGAGTCCTTGGTGTTGAGCACGGTCGATTCCAGGTCTTGTACATCTCTTCCCTCTGCTTCCTCCAGACACATATTTTTAAGTTAATGTTGTCCTTGGATTATTTTGTGCATCGCCACGTCCTGACTTCTGTGCATCTCACGGTTCTTTTTTCATCAGCTCCCATTCTTGAAAAAATATTTTTCCAGGGCAACAGGGTGTTTAGGAACTCACTATTTGAAGTGTGACACAATGGTATTATTCACCCCTAATCGTATAATATTCTTTGACACGGTGGGGAAGATTATGCTCCAGCCGGTAAAAGACACACACAGGTGTGTCGAGCTTTGCATTTGTCCACTTCGCACTGCCGTGCTCTGCAAAGGGCCCTCACTGCACCGTAACCTCTGGGCCGTGGGATTGCCCACAGGCTTCTTGGTGTGTAGCACTCCTTACTGAAAACGGGTCTCTTGATCCTCTTTTCCCCTCTACCTCTCTCTCAGCTCAAGAGGGCCAGCAGCGAGGACATGCTCAACAAGCCGGGAAGTGCCACCGCTTCCGCGGTAGTTCGACTGAAAAAGACTTCGACAGCCGGAACCATCTCCGAGCTCACTGAGAGCCGCCTGAGGAGCCACCCAGGTAGGAGGAACGCAGGTCAGGAACGCATGTCTGAGGGGCCCGGGCAGGAGGGGCCCAGGTCAGAGGGACCCAGCAGGCCACTCATCCTGGCCCAGGACAGTACGTCAGTGACTGATGCATCCCTCCCCGCATCAGATATGTGTGGAGCACTTACTCTGGGCCAGGAACTGCTTTAGGCAACAACATCCAGCCCATGGCGTTTACATCAGGGGGGGACAGACAAGAACAGAAAGGTAATGGGGGTGCCGTGGTTCCCGCTGTCCTTCCAGGTGTGCACCTGCCATCGTGCGTGTGAAGTCTAGGCAAGATGGCATAGGTCCTGGTGTTGTCTTGGGGTGATGGGCATTGAGGAGTGAATGAACCAGCTCTGTAGGTCCCTCGCAGATGTGGTGTTCAACATCCCATGGAGAACGGGATGCTCTGCACTGAGTTGCTTAGAGGGCGGTGGCCATGGAAATGTGAACTTTCTCAGTATTACTGTCTTTTTGAGAAACAGAAAAGGATATATATATATATATATATGTATATATA